TCAGTCTTTCTAATATACGTGCAAACCATAATTGCAATTGATCTGTAAAAAAATGTAATTCATCAATATTTCATGTGCGTTACACCTTTTTGATGAACTTTGGGGCATGTTGGTACATGCTGTAACAACATGCCCCATATCAACATGAGGTATAACAATGTCTCCATACTAATTCATCGTCAAACAACATAACTCAATGTTATCGTATATTAAGAGATAGTAACTATCGAAGTCTAAAACTAATAAGAACAGTATCAAAACACAGTATATAAAGATTAAATAGATATTTCCTAGACATTTTTTTTAGTTTAGGTATGCAAAAACAGAAAATGTATATACATTTTTTATTTCGTGACTGATCTTATTCATGCCGCCATTAAAACAAATCTTGCGCAACATGTGTTCGATGGTCCGTGAACTATCGCCATCTATTAATCTCAACAAGAGCTAGAGGCACTGTATCAACTTGCCCCTGTAACAACTAGTCCCGGTCTCCCCTACTTCATTGGATGTAGATTCACATCGACTCTTTCAAGTTTCCTCACTAAATGTGACACTTTACTCTCTCTCTCTCTCTCTGGCTCTTCACTTCCATCATCCATTGGAGGAGTTTGTGCCAACTGGCGTGTGGACTACCCCACTTAATTTTGTTGCAGAGTTTCTTCATCTTCTGGCTTTCTATTCTTCTCCGGGTAGCTACTTCCTCCTGTCTTCATTCTATATACCTCGTACTGGCTCTGAATGTAAGTTTTCTTTCTATATATCATATCTTTACAATGGTCTATTTCTACTTCTCTTGATCCTACTCAGTGGTGAGTGTTGCCTGTCCAGGTATAGTTAACTTCTAAGTCTGCTCCACGTGACCTTACAGGTCTATAATGCTCATTGATGAGATGGGTTATATCACAAGACCACTAGAGGGTTCTTCATGGTATCTTGTTTCATAATTAAGGCCTGTAACAACTCATGGACTATCATGAGTAAAGCAGTGTCAGGATTGCTTCCCATCTCACCAGTCCTAGTTGAATAAACTGGGACTAGCTTGATTTTTAAAATAAGGTTATTGTGGTCCCCTGTTGTACTGTTGTACGGTTTTGCATTCCTCCAGACTCCCCACTGCATTCCTTCCCCCATCCTCGATTGTAGTACGGTAGTCCTTGCCATGTACCAGTTACTAGCCACTAGGTTGGTGGACCATGGAAGCTTCCTCCTGAGTATGACTGCTTCCACTCAGTTGAGAGTAGACTGGAAGACAAATTCCCAATGCTGCTTGGTCTTGGACTGGATGATTCCACCATGTGCAGTTCACCCCACTGGCAGGCTTTCCCCATTCTACTGCTGCCTGGATCTTAGTTTCTGAGTGGTCTGGTGTTCGATTGGCATAGAACCAGCCAACATAAGTCTTCACACATTGGTTGGTAGGGACCCTCCTCTTACTACAGATCAGATAAAAAATTCCAGATGCTGCCTGGTTTTGGACTGGAGTTGACCCACCACATTTGCATTCCCCTGCCTATTATGGCCTGAATTTCACATTCCAGGGTGGTCTGGTATTGGTTGTGTAGTGGGTCTGCACTTCTGTACCCTGCCCGAGTTGTTGTAATGGAAGTTGCTTTTCCTTTCTGCTTCCTGGGCTTGAGATGAAGACAGTTGGGACCCTACTCCTACTATGAACCAGATGACAAATACTCAATGCCACTTGGTTTTGGACTAGAGTTGGCCTGCTGATTACACTATAATGCATCCTAGCCACTCTACACCACATGATGCATTCTATTACTCATTGGACTAGCATTATCTCCACCCAATTTTGCAACACGTTATCTTTACCTTTGGTGAAGAGCATACCTAGTTCAAATGAGGTGTGGTCTCCTCCAAGCTTGACTTTTTCCATTAGGGTATCTCACTCTATGAATTCCCATTGGGTGCCTTCTGAAGAGTGCTCATCTAGGTAACCTTTGCACTGGTCCCTCCACCTTTTCATTGTGGGATTCTAGCCATTATGTGAGTAAAGGTAAGGTATTGTATCAGAAGTTAACATTTTCCTACACTGAAAATATATTTCTGATGGATACTTACATCTTCTCACACTTCCTACCCATCCTCCTTACTTCCAGTGCATCTTTTTTTGCCTAATCTTGAAGTGATGATTGTGCTCAATAGTATAGAGGGAGTGTGGTTCACTCCTATTGGTGGAAGGTTGTTGCATGCTCATTTTCATGCTACACCACAGCTATACCACATGTAAACGTGATGTTAGGTGGGAGCCTGAAGTTAGTGGTGAACAAAAAATCGAGGAAAAATATTATGTGAGAGGAGGTAAATATCTATTGGAAATACATTTTTAGTCCAGGGAAATATTGCCATTTTCCCTACAAATTGAAAATTGCTATCACCGAGTTCAGGTTAAACAGCCAAGGGAATTACTTTAAGGCACTTATGCCTTAATTGAAAACCAGTTAAATTATAATAATTATAGGACATTGTTTGATTTGTTCATGTTATTATTTCAAATAGATATAAGTTATTTTAGTTACTAGTAATATTATTACAAGGAGCTGGGGTTAAGTTTCATCAGAGAGCCAGCAGCAAAAAAATGACACCAAACTTAAGTACTAAATTTATCATTTTTCGTGTATTTTTTATTTATTGTTATAAAAAATAATTAAAGTGTAAAAATTAGAAGCTTGCTAGGTTAAATACAGCAAGATGATGAAAACAAATATACAATTTTTCCATGAGGTATTCTTGCAAGTAATTTGTGTAATGTAATTCAGTACTATATAGTTAGGTACATGTTCATCGTGTTATTTTAAACTTGTATCGTTGAATTATTAATTCAAAGAGAAATAAAACAATAAAATCAAATAAAAACAGGTGTAGACTGTTATGAACCTTAAGCTGTTTAGGATAAATAAGTGTAATTTTTTGTTACAATCTGCAGTTGTTGTAGGAAAAAAACTTGGTAAACTATTTGAGATAAATAATTGTAATTTTTTGTTACAATCTGCATTTATTGAAGAAAAAAAAGTCAACTTGCTAAACTGTTTAAGATAAAAAATTGTAATTTTTTATTACATTCTGCAGTTATTATAGGAAGAAAAAAGATAACTTAGATTAATTCCTTTTTTTTTTTGTGCTGGTTACAAAGTTGGTCAAATTGACCAAATGTATGTAGTGTTAGTGAAGAGAAAATAACAGATAAAATATAAAGTTTTACCAAGAACAAAATTTTTAATATTCATTTAAGAGGTTCTCGAGGATATGCAAATGAAATTTGAAAACTATAAGAAAAAAGTGGTAGTATTCTTAAAATGAAAAACAACTTGCACTCAGACTCCATATATTCACCAAATAATTTCTAGTAAAAATAATTATATACAAAAATCAGATTTTTTGTGTACAAAAGATTTATAATGTTTACTAAATGTTTTCTAAATTTCATGAAGCTATACTGACTACATTAACAGTTAAATTGTGTGTACTTTCTTGGTTACTTGATGGTTGTAGGATTGGTCAGAATGACTGAGCTCAACGTAGAGAGAGAGTTGGTAAATATAGAGTATGGCTGATGGTATGTAGTATGATATGTAGGTGGAATATTGTGGAACAAAATGAATAAAACTTTTCAATCATAGTTCAATACATATTATGAATTTTTATTTTATTTCAAGTTACAGCTTTTACAATAATGAAGATAATTTTTAGAACAGGTACAATGTTTCGATCACTGGAATGAAAATTAAACACATACTAAAACATTTTATAATGAACTCCCCCAGACCAGAAAACATTTACAGAATAAAGTGTATCAACAGCCCAGCCTTTTACATTGATGAAACAGGACATAACTTGAAGATCAGGTTAAAAGAACACCAAATTCCCCTTCCCAAGTCCATGAACATATGAACAAAAATATTTTTTTCAACACAATGTCGCATCACTAAAACATGAACTTGACATTAGCAGAAGAAAAATCAAACAATCCCACAACTGACAAACACCCAGGCACATCTTTATATGCCTTTGATCATTATTTTCCTAATCTTGTGCAAATATTGTGCATAACATATTCCACTTTTTTAAAATATTTATTCACTTTTTTGTTGTTTTTTTCTGTTCAGCCATAAATAAATAACCTGTTAATTCACATGAATTGATATGCACATGCATAAGTAACCACTATCAATTCTAAAATTTAAATATATTGTTAGGTTGTTGAATGTTGATTTAAGTACTAAAACTGTTTTTACTGTTAAAACTTGTGTACTTGAGAATGATTGCACCATTGATTGAAATGCCATACCTGTTCTAAAAAATATTCTTCCTTACTGTAAAAGCTGTAACTTGATATAAAATAATACTTAGTCAGTAAGTAAACTAAAAAAAAACTATGTTATGAAATAGTTTTTAAAAATTTATTAATTGTCCAACTATTATTTTTATTTGTTTTATAGAAGTAATTACAATTGTTTTTCATTCCAGACTAGGAAACTTGATCAATAAAGCACCACTAATGATATTTATGAAAGGATCACGTGATAACCCTCGCTGTGGTTTTAGTAAAACTTTAATTGGGATTCTTAATGAAACTGGGTATGTACAGATAATTTTCTATACTACCAACTTGTTTCACAGTAAAATATTGAAAATAGTTCCCTGCATATAGCTGGGTAAAATTTTTGTAGTTATTATTTTTTATCTTTAGTATATGGATTAAGAACTAAATTAAATCTCCTAAACTGGACAAACCTTGTGAGATATTGAAATTGTGGCCAGAAGTATAACTAACAGCAAAAGTATGCTACTAATGAATTCAGTCTATTCTTTTCATTATAAGTATTTGCTTTATTGACACTTCATACTTCTAGTTAGATTTGTATGCTAAATTAACTATATTATTTATTGAGTTAACTTGTAGTTCTGATTTGTATAGGTAGCTTGCTTTGGTCTGAAGGTAATGATAATTTACCAGAAGTCAGATAATGAGAACAACAAAGCATTTAAAACTTGTACATAGTAGAAACCTTTTTATACTTATTTCATCTGTTCATATTGTTACAATTCATGCTAATTTTACTCGATACTTGGTAGTCAGTGTTTTCATGTTGTATAATAAATTTTGTTTCATTTGGTCACTTTGTAAACTGAAGTATCATGGATCTTTATATTTTTCAGTGTTTTTTACGAATGCTAGTGCATAAACAAATTTTTCACAATTTTCAGTTTTTTATTAGACCCTCAGGCTGTTAATAATTCTGTGGTATGTACTTCACAACACAGCCAGTAGGAATCACAAAATTACAAGTTTGTATTTATTACCTATTAAGAAAGAGACTGTTGATGTTTTGTTCAATAGTTTATAATATCATGTTAATTTTGATTTAGCTCTTAAGCATTTTTTTAACCTTCCTAGAATTGTTTTATACAAGTTTTAAATATTTTGTTTTATTGCTACAAAGTTTTCATTAATAATATGTTTCTTTCTTTACTTTCTCACAATAAATTTAGTTCACAATGAAGGCTAAATAGTGAAATATTTGAGAAGCGTAATATTATTTTTATTAAACAAGATGGTGAATGAAAATTGTTTACTCTGAACAGTTAATGATGACCACAATTTACTCATAATGTGTGTGTGTGTAAAATTATAATATTGCGTTAATATTATAGGTAAATCTGTAAGAAAAAAAAAACAAAAAAACTGGAACATAAATCACATTGAGTTTTAATTACGTGCCCTAAAATTGATGCATAAAATAGTGAAGTTATTAGGATTGATATTTTTGATCTTATATGACAAAAATAACTTCATACCGAATAACAGTCGTATAGATATATATATATATATATATATTAACAAAAGTAATAATTAGACAGAACCACATACAAAAATTACGGAATCAGTAAATGTTGAAAAGAAGGTAATGTAAAAAAAAATATAATATTTTATGTACTACAGGGAATAATCCATTACGTTGGAACTAAACATAAAATGATAAAGTATGGCACATGATAGTGAGGGTTCAAGTTTTTATATGTTAAGAATATATTGATGTTCTAGCCATCCTTTTTTTTGTCTGACATCATAGAAATTACAAAAATATAATAAATTACCAGGTTTTGCTGTGTTTTGCATTAACAGATAATATTTTGAGGATTGATTCTTGACATTAATTACAGACGTAAATATGAAACTTTTGACATATTACAAGATGAAGAGGTTCGGCAAGGATTGAAAACATTTTCTAACTGGCCAACATATCCACAAATCTATGTCAATGGCAGTTTAATTGGTGGTTTGGACATAATTAAGGTAGCTTTTTTTTACTAGAATTAATGTAGATTTTTGGCCTATAATTCATAATGACAGTGTATTTATTGCTTTCATTTTAAGTTTGAATAGTTAAATTTTTTGAAGCAATTAATTCAGACTTTATAAAAGGTTACATACATACATGTAGTGGGGGAGAAAGAGCTTACAGGAAATAAGTATTACAATTTAAAGTCTGGTGCTTTTATGTATCATTAAATATATAAAATGTTTAATTATTACTTGTTTAGTTGTGAAGCATCAAGGTACATTGGTAAAGTTTCTGTGTTGTGTTAAATGTCTTACATTAAAGTGAGTTAACTGTGTATATATGGATGTTTAGGATAATACATACTGCTTATATTATTTATACATTTGTTGAAAGATGTGCAGTTGAACAGGTTATTAAACTTGTAGTATGTCCTGCAGTTCTGTTCCATTACACAGTCATTAAGCAAATCAAATAGTGATATTAACACTATATGATAATATACATAATATAACGTACAAGAGCAAGGAAAGCTATACGTAAAACAAAATGAAACATTGAAAAATTCCTGTTAGCTATATTTGATACATTTTAGTCTTATGGGATGTATGTAATAAAGTGTTTAGTTTATGTATCTTAAAATATGTTCTTACACCTTTTGTACTATAGATAAATTTCTTCTTCATAAAAATTAACTTTGATATCAATTGAGTCTTAAAGAATGATGTTAGAATTAGTCCTTTACTTTTGTTCCTATTTTCATAGGAGTTGCAAGAAACAGGAGAGCTGGATAAAACACTGAATGGAGAATAAACAAGAAACAGGAGAGTTGGAGAAAACACTGAATGGAGAATAAAAAAAATTCAAATTTCCTCTTGAGTAATTATCCTATGTTTAACAAACCTTGAATGCAAATATCCATAGTTTTGGTCAGTTTCAACCTGTTCAGGTAGATGATGGCAGAATTATAAAAGAATCTCTAATGTAATAAAGCTTTTCAAAACACGATTAAGAAAAGCATTCAATTTCAAAAATTTTATAAGTTGCTGAGATAAATAAAAATAAATTGAAATCATTTGTGTTGTGGTGATTTTCTGTTTTGTTAATAAAGTCTTAACTAATTTGGGTGATGAGATTTTCAAATAGTAAAACTGGGACACACTCAGATTTTCAAATCTTATAGCATCCCCACTCCAACCCTTTGATTAGGAAAAGTTACAAATTAACAGTTATGTAAATAATAAATAGCAAGTTAAAAGGATACATTTACTGATTTATTTCTCTGCTGAATGAATTTTTTTAGCTATTTTGTGTTGGTCAGGAGTTTATTGTAAAAACCTGAGCAACTGTCATTTAGGTTATTTTATATAAATACTTCACAAAATCAGCACCTGTCATTTACATTAAACTATCTCTTTTTGTTCTAATGGGTGTAAAATCATTTGCTCAGTAACCTATGCAATAGTGACATCCTCATTATAGCCAACTTAAAAGGAAACAGCAAAAGCTATGCGAAGTCATTCCAAATTGTGTGATAATTTCGTTACTCGGTTGAAAAAATTCATATCTGTTGATTTACAGTTGTCAGAGGCTCAAAGTACTACATACAATATAAAAAGTTACTGACTAAAATCTAAAACCAGGACATTTAGGTGTCTCAAAAGGATCTATCAAGAGTAGGACAACATTTCAAAACCTGGGCTACTCTGCTTAGGATGTCTGGTCACACTATGTATAGTATGAATTCATTAATACTGTAAATGGAACTTAAGTCTTTTGTTACATCACAAAAAGTTTTTCATATGATGTGCTTCAGTTACTTAACATACATTTTAAAATTGTTAAATGCAAGTATTTGAATACCAAGTTTTCCATTTTAAATGCTGTCAGAATGTTAACTTCAAGTGGGTTCATTGATATCATAATCATTTTTTATATTTTGGAATATCTTAATATTTTGTTTGGTTCAAAATACTTTATTATTTTTATTAAAGATTTTAATGCTATGGTATATAGTGCTTAAGCAGGCAAAGTGAGAAAATTTATTAGGCCTAAAATGAATATTTCTTTTGCAAATCTTTCAATTTATCACTCGCTTCCTTAGAAAATACTTCTGCTCAGCTATTAAAATAATTCTAGCTTAAATATTTGTTTTTAAGTTAGTATTTTATTTTACTGAACTGTAACATTGTTTCTGTTAGTACTCTCAATTTGATTTTAAGAGAAATATTTAAATACTATTCCTGGAATGGATATTTTTTTGAATCTTAGAATGCCTTGCAATAAATTTATAAAAACATAATTCAAGATTTAATAAACAATTTTTTGAAATATGCATAATATATTAAAAGTTGTATTTTTGAATACTACTTAAATTTACATTTCTGTAATTTGTTACTAAAGAAAATAAAAGACAAGCATCTTTTATAAGTTTTTTGAAATCCACAGAATATACACCTGAATAGTTAATTTTCTGACTGAATGCAAGTAATGAGGTTTCTTAGGATTTAAAGACTAATTATGTGTATATTTGGAGCATCATGATATTTTAATTTGTTAAGGAAAATCTAATTGTGAAATATCTCAACAAGGCCGAGCTAAGCAAATTAGAAGTTGCTTAAGTTTATAACTCTGAGCTTTAGTTCCATACTATAATCTTTTTCTTCATCCCAGTTCTCCTTGAACATTAATAGTCAAAGTATTGTGTATCAATGATACCCGAGAACAAAAATGCAAACTTGGTTTAATTACAGAATGAAGTGTAAGAACACGTAATTGTCAAAATGGAAATATTCTAAAAATTATAAGACAGATTGAAATGTATTAAAGACATGGAAGAGGAAATAGAAGGTGAAGTGAATTATTTTTAGCTACTTACACATAATTATTATTTTACATTCAGGAATTTCATGATCCAATTCTTGGGTCTATTTGGAAAATTTTGTTCACACAGAGTAAATCTCTTTTAAAATTGTTTTTCACGAATATTACTATAGTGTCTTAAAAATTTCTTAAACTTTATGAAGAATTTTGTATCAAATGGTCTGATTTAACCTTTAAAATGTTGAATTTCAAGTGGAAATTAGTATTATAGAAACTAACTAGTGTACATGCAGGACAAAGTATTTATACCAGTAATCACAAACAAATTTTTGCTTAAAAAGAAAACTGATCGTCAACTTCTGGAAAGATATGAACACAAGCAGAAACTTTCATGTTCTACTTTTATTGTGATTATGTTACTGAACTGATATACATACATGAAATGAAAGCCATTTATATGAGGCACTTAATACAAGATGACCAATGGGAGAAAGAAACTAATGGCTGTATAAAAATAGACTAGTTTTTAGGTGAAAATAACAAAACACCATAATCATTACATTCACATATGTGCATTTGATATTACAGAGAAATATAGTTAACTTAAAGCTTTTGTAATCACAAAAAAGTGTATTCTTATACATCTTATTAAGTTCTACTGGAAATTAATGTAATAAGATCTCAACTCTTAAATTATTTCAAGTAAAAAGAATTACTTTGATTACAAAAAATACATACCTACAAAGTATTAACAAATAAAGATTCTTGGGCTATGAACATTTTTAGTTGAAACAACTACAGTAATTTTGTGTTACAACATCATGATGCAGTTTAACTTCTCTACCACAGATAGATTATAATACTGAATTAACAACAGTGAATAAATCTTAGTTTAGTTTTTTATGTTAAGAATATTCTTGCACACCTACAAACATAATGAAATAGGGGAAGGTGTGCCAGAAATTTACTTGCTTCACTGCTCACTGATAGGTACCAAATTGGAAGACACCTCAAGTTCATAGTATCAACAAAAGATCACAACAGTTTATTCTTAAAATGTTTTCCTATTAACACTTGTAATTAACTGTAAACCTGGTAAAAAAGAATTATCTTTGCTTATTAAACTTGACAGTTTTCCTGCTTACATATTCACATGCAATTCTAAAAGTGTTAACATATTTCTTTTTATTAGTGCTTTATTATGTTCCACATATTAAATATGCTTTCTTTTTTACTTCACAAGTTCTTACAACTGTTTGAAAGATTAACACTTTTAGATCTACATAATTTGAATCTATAGTACATTACTAGTACAAAGATTGCTTTACTACTATTAAGACCAATAAAAGTGAAGGAAAGTAGTTAAAAACTGACCATTCTTATAATGTGAAAACAATTAAAATCAACTCTTAAGATTACAATATATTACTGCATCTTGATACATAAATTTTTAAATGCTTGGGCCAAGTCTTAAATCAATTAAACTGTTCCAGCCTCAGAATTATGAGAGTGCTAGGGATGAATGACAGATTTATAATAAATCATGATGTTTTCTCTTATTTATGGTTTTGTGACATATTTGCCATACCTTAAAAGAAGTTATTACTTCATAAATGTAGCAAAACAACTAGACAAAATCAGTTTACTTTGGGTTCAACAGTTACAAGGAGAGAATAATACAAAATCTATAAATAAGTGTCTCTATAAAGGAGTATAAATCACTTCTGTTCCAGGCTTTCATACATCTATGTAGTAGAAAAACAGTATTCTAGAAATTACTTTCATATGGAACTCGCCAAACATCAGAGTTACCTACCTTGACTAAGCTTATGATGAAAAGTTAACCAAATTTTTTTATATATATCATGTTTCATTCCAAAGATGCTTTGGTCCAATTCTAAGACTTGCACCATTTGCTATTTTGACAATTACTAATTTGCTAACAGTAAACACATGTATAAGATTTACAGTTCTTATGAAGAAGACAACACCAATACACACTTTGACTACACATAAAGCCATGGTTCTCATACAACTAAATCAATTATTCTCTGAGAACAATTGTGTAAGACACCATAAGCATTCAACAATGTCTAATCTTATAAATTAACAGCCAAGATATAGGGTTACCCACAAAAACAGATTTATAACAAGTTAAAAATGATTAAATAGCAAGAACTATCAGTTAAACTGTACTTAGGTCCACACTTCAGATCTTCTTTAACTTTTTTTATGGTCATGTAAACACAGAGGACCTTAAGTGTTTACACTCTTTACAATATTTGAAAAGGCTATTACAGTAACTATATCTCAACTCTAATAAAAAACAACTTTATTTTCTTATAAATTAACTTCAAGTTTGAAAAGAACACACCCTGTATATAAAAAAAAATCCACATCATTCATCCTTCACAATTGAGGAAACCAGAATTTAAACAGATATAAAAAATATATAAAACATATTCTATGCACCCTACTATAAAAACTTGAAAAAATTTAAATGCAGACAGTGAACTGATAGATCTTTCTTACTGTAAGTCAGAATTTAAAAGTAAACTTCCTATCTGAAAAAGGTGGTTAAGATTATTTCAGTTGATAAAATGCCAAAATACTGATGACAATAGTGAAAAATTCTGGAAGTTAACAGAATTGCTAAGAACTATGATTAAAAATCATTTTTTACAGGGTATTTTCATTTCAGTGCTGACACATAATCAAGAACAACAACCAATATCCATTGCTCTCCAATTTTTAGGAATACTTTGATTTTAAAAGCAGTAACTTTACCTTATTAAGGGTTTACAGTAGATACTTATAGCATTTATAACCACAAAAAATACAACAGCTAATGAACTACAGATGAACATTCTGAGAAATGAATGGTAAAGATGACATGGTAATAAGGTGTAGGTAGGAAGACAAAACCAACATTTCAATTCTTTTTTTTTACCATTAATTACATACATATTTTACTATATTTAGATACACGACACTGACACAGGAACCTACCTTCACGTACTTCCACAATAAAAATCCTTCAAAACAATAACTATGAAATAGCAAATCTCTACTATTTTCTAGTTTCCCAAAAACAGATTACTTGAAATGTACAAGTTCACAAGCTTTCCAAACCAAGTATGTTTCATTTAGACTTAATGCTCCAAACAGCTTAGTACAAAATACACCCAACTAAATGAAATTAACTGACTTCCTTACATCTCAGTACAAGAACAATACAAACTTCATTTAAGATAATCTCCTGCTATTATCACTACTTTTAGTCTTACACTCATAAGCTAAGCACCATTTTAATATTCTAAAAGGGATAAAACTTTCCTGAAATGTTTAAAATGAAAGTGCATAACACACTTCTTTACAAACTCTGAAAATTCTTTGTAGCTTGAATTTTTCACTTATTAAGTGCCCTTATATTGAAATTCATGAATCACAGAAGAATAACTTTGATTCACTCTTTGATGAAAAAATCTTCAAAATTTTAAATTTCAACTTTCTGCTTCAAAATGTTGGCAAGGTTTATCTTGCAAGCAAACTTCTTAAACTTTTGTAATATATGAAGAATTAATATTAAAATAATAGGAAATATAATATAATACAGACTATAAAGAATATTAAATGCTAAGTGGATGATATCATTTCCAAAAATAACTTTGCCAAGTGAAGAAAACTTTGAAACTACCAGATGATATTTCTTATAAAACAAATTCTATTTTATCTATAAAGCTTGTATCTCTTATTGTAGGATATAAATTACTAAGTAATACATTCAATAAAGTAAGACATTTATATGATAGATATGTTGAAATGCACTCAGGCAATAACTTTGTCAAAGATGAGAATTTTAATGATGGCAGTTAACACTAAATCATTCATATCTTAATTTTACTTTACATCTTTTTTTGCATATCTTATTCTTTACCTTCTTTAAAATGAGTTTAAACCATTTTTTCAAAAAAGTTAATTGTTTATCATTCTTTGTATAACTACACTGAAATGCTAATCATAATAAATATATTGGGACTGCACTTAAAATATTTTGAAAGGATAAGGGTGACTCTTCTCGAGTATTACAGACCACTAAAATAATTGCATGTTACTGTAAGATTACCTGTTACATAATATACACATATATCTAAACATAAATATCTACAAGTCCTTATGAAAAGAAAATAACAGATGAAGAAAAACAGTTTATATCTTCAGCTGAAATTTCAAGCCATTTCTCTGTAATTAACAATGTAAATAGAACCATGCATGATTAACCTGAAAATAAATAAAATCAATACTTCCTGAAGTAGCAATTAACCAAAGTAATATAAAAAAACCATTAAAGAGTAAAATTAAGACCCTCCAAGACTATTCCTTCACAAGTTTCAGAGGATTTTACAAAAACTACAGTCAACACACATTACCATTTATTTGGGTATACCACACTTTATTAAATATCTAAATTCTCTCAGAACTCAATGGATCTAGATTTTCTACTTCATACAGGATCTGCTGGACTATGAAATTCACTCAAGGCTTTGATAGGAGCAATGCTCTTTTTCTGTGAACCTTTGCGCACTTTTGCACGAACATCCTCTGGTTTTTCTCTTCGAATTAGTGGTTTTTTCTCAGGAGCTTTCATTTTCCACACGACAATAGGAGACTGCAAACAAGAAAAACATTTAGACACTTATTCTCATATTTTACATAGACAGCCCTAATAATAATTTTGCTAGACAAATTTCCAAAGTGCACGAGTACTTTGGAAAACGTTTTTCAATATATGTATTCATATAGTAAAAAATATTAATACATACTTAATTCACACATGCAATGCTAAATTAACTTTTTATAAGATAAAATGCTTCTAAGCTGCACAACGTTTACACAACAAACATTTATTGTAAAACATAATAATTCAGGTCTCCTAGCCTAACTGAAAGAGAAGAACTTAATAGTACATATGAAGTTTAACCAAATCTTATCACATTCATGAAGTTGGTTATGAAATTCTTTCATCTTCAGACAGTCATTCATTTTTATTTTAATCATTATGCTTTTTAAAGCTTGTAAGTTAAACAGTTTCAAGAAATATTTCAGAAACGAGTTTACAAACAATATATATGTTTTCATTATAACGTACTACAATAATGCCATTAAAAAAGCAATAATGATACAAAAGCATTATTTGCAGTTCAAAAACTTTTATATCGTAATTTTCTTTCTAGCCTTTTAATACCTTCTTTTTCTTATTTATCATAAAATATTTCTAGCAATTTTGATGTTTTAATATGAATTAAGTGGATCCTTATGAAAAAAACACAAAAATATGGCTGAAGAACTGTTCTGAAATTATTTTGGTTTAAACAACGACTGTTTTGTATTTGATAATTTTTTTGCTCTGACAAAATTCTATCATAAACGTAAGGATGTGCACTGACTCTGTAATTGATAGAAATTGTACACATTTTCTTATATAATATCTGGGACATCTTGAATTTAGTGTTACATGATAACAATTACAAGTCACTAGCTACAGTAATGTCAGAGGCATTGCTAAGCACTGGCACATAAGGCCTGTGTCCCAAATTCCCAGTTGGTGTCTTGAAAACTGAGAATATAAAACCATGTTCAATATCATACTGAAACACCAAAAATTCCCAAACCTATGGGCCTGAAATCTGAATTTTTTAAGCACCCAGCAAAGTCTCTGTTATGTGTAGATATAAACATTCACAGGTTAACAAGTACAAATCACTACCTGCAGTAATGTTATGTTAAACTTTACATGTGGATATTAACAATAATCACAAGCTAACAAGTGCAAATCACAACCTACAACAATGCTAACTTTACATGTGGATATTAACAATAATCACAAGCTAACAAATGCAAGTCACTACCTACAGTAAAGTTATGCTAACCTACAGTAATGTTATGTTAACTTTACATGTGGATATTAAAAATAATCACAAACTAACAAGTGCAAGTCACTACCTACAGTAATGTTATGTTAACTTTACATGTGGATATTAACAATAATCACAAGCTAACAAGTGCAAGTCACAACCTACAACAATGCTAACTTTACATTTGTATATTAACAATAATCACAAGCTAACAAGTGCAAGTCACAACTTACAGTAATGTTATATTAACTTTACATGTGGATATTAACAATAATCACAAGCTAACAAGTACAGGTCACTACCTACAGTAATTTTATGTTAACTTTACATGTGGATATTAACAATAGTCACAAGCTAACAAGTGCAAGTCACTACCTACAACAATGCTAACTTTACATTTGGATATTAGCAATGACAGTCTAACAAGTACAAATCACTACCTACAGTAATGTTATGTTAACTTTACATATGGATATTAACAATAATCACAGGCTAACAAGTGCAAGTCACTACCTACACTAATGTTATGTTATCTTTACATATGGATATTAACAATAATCACAAGCTAACAAGTGCAAGTCACTACCTACAACAATGTTAACTTTACATTTGGATATAGCAATGACAGTCTAAAAAGTACAAGTCACTACCTGCAGTAATGTTATGCTAGCTTTACATGTAGATAATTAATAATCACAGCTACTACTACTACTATTACTAAACTGTACTGTCAGATATTTTGTTTTTTTTAGTAGTATTATCTCATACAACTCATTTTTTTTGCATTTGAGATGTTCTATTAATACATAATCTACAGTATACTTAAGAAGAAACTAACTATAAACTAACAAAAAAAATATGTTTGAGAATTCAGAATGTTTTTCTAACAAACATACATGCTTTTTATTCTGGCTTATTGATTATTCCTTTCTAAAGATTAATAGTATTATAATGAAATACTTTTGACCAAAATACAGCATTTGAAATAATTTTTAATGTTTTGTAAAATACCTTAAACATTTCAGAAGTCAAATATGAATACTGTTTGATAAAAAAGAATCAAAAAAGAAAAGTTTAATATTTCAATTTCAAACTATAATAAATGAGTACTTTACAAATAAACAGCAGATATAATGGAGTGCATGCAGTTTACACCAAAGGATGAATGCCAACATAGTGTGATACACAGCAAAGAATGTATACACGGATCTTTGTGTTGTTTCCATAACACAATATCTATGTATGCTGTATGATAACATAGTTTTCCAATAATGCCTTATTCATATACAGCTTATTATAAAATGTAAAAAGAAAAAAAGAAAAAAAGAAAGAATAATTTTTAGTCTAAACATGAAAATACATAGCCTCCTTTTTAAGTTGGAAAAATGGCTGTTAAAACTGGATTTTTTTTTATCCCATTGGGAAGAGTCTAAGAATTAGAAACATTTAGCTTAAAAACTCTCAATAGATACAATCACTACTTAAAGTAATGCAAGTTATAAATTTGGGTGAAAGTAGCAATAGATAGGGTTGCTCTTTAAGGTCATTCTAGCCTAATAATTAAGATAAAAATGATCATATTGTAACAGTTTCATGACATGCTAATTGTAATTCAGACAAATGATATTAACTACAAGCTCACTATTAATATATAGTTAAGCATAAAAGAAAATTAATCAAAAATATACTTACACTCACTCTTACACTTCGAGGATACTAAAGAAAAAACCCAAAAAGCAATTACCAATCAAAAATTACAATGCAAAAAAACTGTGTGAACAAATTATTCATAATTTTGCAAATATACCAATAATTCCAAAAACACACAAGGAATTTATGACTAGTCTAAACAATATTACATATGATGCTTTATAAAAGTGCATCATAAAACAGCACTCAATGACTTTTGCTATAAATATGTAGAAGGAGCATTTAACCGAAATTCTAGAAACAAAAGCTGAAAAAACAGGTATCCTTTTGAATAATTATTTTAACATTTCTTCAATCTTTACACGCTCAACAGTACCTACATAACTAATCAGTTATTTCACGTTCATAAAATGTTAAAGCTGTTCAAAATTCATAATTTATCTCCAATAATTTATAAATCCTTTAAAAAAGAAAGATAGGAAAAGGGAGTATTAAGATGGCTTAACCTATACATTAAAAACAATTCTTTCCAAGTGATTCAAAAATTAAACCTATAATACAAAGTTTCAGTGTTCAGAATCTTATTTACATTTCATACTCTCAGAACTAACAACAAAAAATTCTTTAATTATGTTAAACTTGTTTAGAATGAATAAATTTTTCAAGAATTGTTTTGTATTGTTTCTATCAATGTGTGTGTATATATAAATTTAATTTCAAAAAATACAACTGGCAAGTTATTTTCCTCTTTGATGAGCAACCAAATTGGAAGGACTAGGTGATAAAATATGTCACATAAATACCAGAGAAATTCAGTTGCAATGCTATAAGATCTGAAAATATAGATAAAAAAATGTTTATCTTTGTGACAAATCACCTTCTTTGCAATAATTAATTTGTGAAGAACATTTGAACAAAACACTGACTCACTCTTTTCCTTGATGATTTTAGATATATTTGTATTTTGAAACTTCTTCTGTAACATGTTACCACAACCAATAATTCCCAATGATTTAAATCAGGTAGACTAGATACAATCTGTTTTAATGTTTTTGTAAATTAGCAGTTGGTTCAATCTTTAACTTTAATACAAAGAATACTTTAACAAGATTGGTTCAGGAATTTCCATAAGCAAGTGTGCTGAGATTCCATCTTGAGCCAGTGCTACGAAGCATAATTTTCATTAAAAGTATAAAAAGGACAACAGACATTGTACTACACAGCACAGTGCAACTGAGGTTCTAAAACAACTACTATTTTAAACATAGTCTTACCTTAGTAGATGCTACATATGAAGCTTTCACAGTAAGAACAACAGCATTCATTAAGTTCTTTGCTGCTTGGATTAGAGATGTTGCACTGTCAAGCTGCAAAAATATGTTTTAATGTCACCCTAATACTTTTTATATAATAACTCTTTCTTAATAACCTAACAAATGAAAAATAAAACTATATATATTACTCATCACTACTCTACACTATCAACTTCTGTGTACTATTATACAAATTATTAATTCAAATTATCAATTCTAATTCATTATTTTATGAGCTAAGCTACCTTTGCACACTGTCTATTCTTTTTACTTTTAATATCAACTTGTTCTTCTTCATCTGTCTATTTTTTAATCTTAAAAACATACTTATTTTCTTTTACCTGTTTTGTTGATCTAACCAAAATGTACTTTTTATATGATTTGGATGAGGTTTTGTTCTATGAGTTTAGCACCAAAATATCTACAGTTTCTATCTGTTTTGTTTTATTTTGTCTCCTTTACAGCCTAACCAACACCTTGTTCTTCTATCTTTTTTAAGTTTTCTAAAAAACTAACATTCTTTTTTATCCTTTTTATGCCCTAATCAACAACTTTTCATTCAGCATTTTTATGTTATAAACAATATATTTTCCTTCTGCCTATTAGATGTTTTAACCAATACCGTTTTGCCTTCTATTTTATGTTCTAATGAATATAATATTTACCTTCTCTTTCTTTTACGATCTAACCAATTTATTTTCATCACATTTTACTGCCTAATCAAAAAATTCTCCCTTTTTTCATGTTCTTTAATCTAATCGACATCTTATTCTTACTACCTATGCTATGGTCTAAGTATCACACTATTTCCTTTCTATATGTTCTATGATGAAACATTGTGTCATTTTTATATTCTGTATTTTTTTGTTAGCTTAAACAAAAGTTTTTCCATTTGTCTTATCTTAGTCAAAGCAATTTACTATTTTCTTACATCCTTGTCCATAACTTGAGCAACATGTTAGGTTTATTGTTTGATCTAAAGTATATCTAAAATATATATTTTTACCTATTTAATATGCCGGGGATGGAAAATTTTATGTCCTTTATGATAAATGGCTAAAAATGAGAAACGACGTAATGTAAAAAAAAAACAATACAAACAAACTGCTATATTTTACACCAAAAATCCACAGCTGCAAGTATGTTTGAAAAATTTAAATATTACAAGCAGTTAAGTTAAAAAGTATTCAATTATAATCTTAGTTTACTACATACAAGTACAAAGAAATCATCAAACTTACCCCAGACACTATGAGATTTCCAGATATGTTCTGTACATCAGCTTTGACTTTGCTAGTGATATTCAGTTGGTGACAGTACAGGGCAATTCGCTGGAGGTAAGCCAACAGATCCTTCTTGGTGTTAGACTGAGGACACTGAAATATATGAACAGATTATATAAAAACAAGTTAACATATTTGATATAATATCTAAGTATTATATATTTTTGTAATTTTAAATCATTGTTTTTTTCTGCAACTGAAGATTGTTTTTGATAATATTATGTCTAAACAATAGATTTTAATGAACCCAACAGTTATTTGATAACCAAAAGCACAAGTCATACACTAAACCTATTACTGAAAAATAGAAGGGAGTGTTTCCAATGTACATTAAAGGCTATATGTGATATTAAAAAATCTGGAAATCAACAGATAGTTCATTTTGTCATGGAGTAAACCAACATATTAAATCAATACATAAGTAAGAGTAACATTATTACAAGGCTTTCAGTGTTAAAAATGTTATAGATTAATAATAAAAGTTAATTTTGCATTAGCTGAATTTATATTAAAATGGTGTTCACTCCAGAAATACTTCATACAATATTTTAAATAAGATTTTCTCAATTAGGACTACTGTAATGTAACGGGTCTGAAATGATTTTCAAGAGGTTTAAAACATTTAGTTGTAATATGTGTAATACAATGCAGTGTGATAAGAAAACACTATGAAAACCATAGTTAAATAATGTTTTCAAAATATCAAGATTTCTTGCAAAAGCTCTACTTAAAAGTGTCAAGACATTTTAAAGACCATTACTCTTGATAGCTCAATGTGTATGACACACACACACACCTCTCTCTCTCTCTCTCTATATATATATATATATATATATACATTTTATTTTTTTGTATTATCTTTTTTACTAGCTAAATACTAAACTAAAGCTAACATTTCATAGTTATCACTGTTGATGAATTATTCTACAATGATTATGTGGAAACATTCCTTTGAAGTAATTTATAAAAAGCATGTTATACATCATATTCCAGACTTCTACACAACATTTGGAGAATTTTCCTCACCTGGTCTGCAATTGTCCTTGCAAGTTTGTCCATTTTTGTTCCACACTCTGAGATTCTTTTAGCTGCATTTATGACATCCATTGTTGTCTTCAGGGGTCCCTTACCTCTGTATTGGGGAAAAAATAGCAATATTAAGCTCATGATGCTGTAAGATTGTTTTCAATGCTAGAATCTTCTGAGCCTAATTCACCAGTGATACAAGAAAGCTAACCGATCAAATATTTAAACTTGGTGTAACTCTCAGCAGTAATAAGAGTGAAGCTTCAAACTTACCTGTCAGTTAGACTGGTCAATCAAAAAATGTTCACATTTTTGTAGAACATTTTCTTAATTTATTTAAAATATCTTCCATAAATCATGCATATGCTAAACTCTTGGTAGTATGGTATCACAAGTTAGGTAATCATCAGTTATAGTCAATTTACTGAAAGTTGGAGTGTTCCAAAGTAAACAAATATATCTCAAACAATTAACTATTATATCCAAATTCTCCTAGAAACTTAAAACTCTACAAACACCTCAGTATAGCATTACTTTCATCTCTACACCAAGTATACACATACTTCAAGATATTAATGATAACACAAAATAAAAACTCACCGTGTGAAATCTGTCATCTCCATCATAATGACACACATTTCTTTGGCCAGGACAATGACATCATTTCCGGTATCATCCCACTTAGCAACCTCCCGATCAAATTTGCTTTTCTCTGTACGGAATGTTTCTACCTGAGCTGCTATTTGTTGCTTTTCTTCCTCAGACACAAAGCGATATGCATCCTAAAAATAATTTGCAATAAAAATCTTATGAACCAGAGAAATAAATACAGCTAACTTTAACCACGATAACTCAACACATTATTTCATAATGTGTACACAATCTGATATGACACACACAAATTGTTTTTACAAACAAAATAACATTAAACGATAACAAGCAACCTTTTGGTGCATCTAAACCATCCTATCCATTAAATTAAACACTAAGAACACAAAGCCAGCCCTTATCATTCATATGATTATCAAGCTTTCTCTTAAATCGCTTAAATTAACTGTATCTACCACTTCTAAAGGCAACTCATTCCAAAGACCAACCACCCTGCCAAAACTTGTACTTGTATCCCCTAGTCTTATCATTTTCACCATTAAATGTGACAATAAAAATGAGGTTTAAACACTATTAATTCCACCCCCCTAACAATCTTAAGCACCTTGATCAGATCACCTCTAACTTTTATTTTTTCCAGAGAAAACATGTTTAAGAGATCTTTACTTATTCTTGTACGACAACCTATCCATCCCAGGTATCATCCTATTAGTCCTCCTCTGAGCCCTTTCCTACAATTCAATGTCCATTCTAAGGTAAGTAGTCCATGAATGAACACAGTAATTCAAAGCTGGCCAAACCAGTGTCCTATACAATGATATTACAATTTCTTTAGACTTGTATTCAATATTTCTGTAGATAACATATAAAATCATATTTGCCCTACCACTAGCAACAGCACATTGGGTGGATGTCTCAAGAAACTGATCAACCAGAACACTAAGATATTTTTCTTCCATAACACTGTTAAGATTAATCCCATCAAAATTATACTCATAATTATAAGTGTGATATCCAACATGCATTAACTTTTTACTAGTTTACAACTTTCTGATACCACCATAGACACTCATGCAATACAAATTTTCTGAAAAACATGCTTCTCACAAAACAATTATTTAAAATTGTAAGTTAAGGCAAACATTTCTGAAAACACAGTGTTATATTTTCTCCACTGACAGTAGGTATAATACAAACAAAGCTCATGGATTGACATAATGAATCAAAAGTGTATTGACTTAAATAGCCATGAATTTTGCTCATCCATAACTATTTGAAAATATACCTTTATTCAAATATATTCAACTAATATTTTTCAAACTTTCTGTGCAATTTCTGAGAGTAGTTAATAATATCTATGTTGACCAGAAATCTAAAGGTTATAAACATATGCTTGTCCTTTTAAACAGATAAAAGGCTGCATACTGCAACTTTTGTCCTTGGGTCTTAAGTTAGTATGTCAAATTTCTGTATGGATTTTTGAAAGGCAGCCTTTTTGAAAAGGCAGAACAGAAACCTCTAAAATTGGTTTGGGATAGCTTACAATTATATGTAGACTATTAGTTAAAGAATATAACCTGTCTCTTGATTTTTCGTAATCTTCACCTCTTGTTTTGTAGCCCTCAACCCCAGTGTTTGTTTAATAAAGAATATTATGTTTCAAACTACTTCTGTGTTTGCTTGTTTTTTCCTACTATCTGTGTTCAAGTTATTCTTCACTTAACAGTCTCCAACCTGCATTCTGTGGGACATAAGGTTGATTATTGATGAAATGTGATATTATTTTCCAATGTTTTTTACCACAACATTCACTGATGACTGTTAAGTGGAGTCATTAGTAAAATATATGGCAACATGAATTATATTATGTTTAAAACATGAAAACTGTTGTTGTTGTCACTTCTTGATTTTTTTTAATAGAAAAGAAACAATAGTGACATTTTACTGTACAGCCACACTTTATGACATAGGTAATATCATGGGCTTCTGTTGCATAATTTCTTTAGATGTACACATAAACCACAAAAATTGTACATAAAACCAAGACTTACTCTAGTATTACTGATACCACTGATTTCTGGATATTCATCAAAGTCAGTGTGAGCACTTGCTAAAAACAGAAAAAAACAAAAGCAAAAATCATAAGATGTTTAAGCATTGTAAACATTTACAATACAGAAAAAGTCAACTAAGAAAGGACAGTATAATAGTGCAGTGGCATATTTAACATTGTTGCAATCAGGGCAATGCACAGATGGGCCCCCTCATATTGCAGGTTCCCAAAGTAAAGCAAAAAGGCTTGTAAATTTCTATACCTATAGCTGATCAGTATGGACGGGTCCCCTAAGATAATTGCACCAAGTAGTCTGAAGTGTTAAAAACGCCACTGTAATGGCATAAAAATTCTACCTTTAGATAATATAAGGATATGTGAATTAAGTTTAAACTCTATAATGTATGTGTCTCGAAAGTAACAAAACATATCAAACACTTAAAAGTCTAGAATCTATGCTGTTATCTTAAATTACTACTCTATGAAAATAAATTAAAACTTCATAAGTGTTACATACAACACCTAAAAACTGTCAGTTCATTTCATATATGCATACACCAAGCTAATGTACAGAAACGATATTTCACAACTTTCACACACACACGTAGTCATACGAGTTTTCATGACAGTCTACACTTCCTTACACTTGCTCCTAGTGTCATAGGTATTTTCTTCATATTCTATTTCTGTCTCAGAATCTAATTCTTCTGCAGTCTGTAATACAAAAATGTAAAAAGAACATTTTATAATACAAACACACAAGAAACAAGTGACAATTTAAATCTTCTTTAAGATTCTCAGAAAATTTTATTGTATTTGGACAAAATTTCAAATACTGTAACTTAGAAGATTCATTCCATATGATTTATTATTCTAAAAACTTATGAGTAAAAACAAAAAAAGAATATACTTTAAACAATTTCAATTATTGTACAATAATACATTTCACATAACCCAAGAAATGTAAAATAATACATTCCATCTAATTCCAGATACAGTAAGACAGTCCAGATGCACAAAACCAATACCATGATGAATTTCATTTCCAGTAAAGTCTATAAATTGGTTTGAAAATAACACATACTCTCTTTACTTCAAATGGCCGGGCATGGCCAGGTGGTTAGGGAG